CTTAGGTATATACAGTATATCTATAAACAGTGAATTAGACCAACCATTACGTAGTTGTCCGCTGGTATAAATGGTATTGAAAACGAAGTTATAGCCTCTAAAACATTGCTATCATTTATAAGCTTATATATTTCAGTTGGAATTTCATCAGGACCAGCCGCTCTGCGATCTTTTGATGATTGTATGGCCTTTATAACCTCAAAGCGTGTTATTAAGGGTCCGTAGCAGTTAAAAATATCGGGAGGTGAACTACTCCTATCGTCTTCGAATAGGTTTCGTGACGTAATTTTCCCATTCTTTAAGTTTGTCCTCTACTTCAAATATTACTTTACCATTTTCATCCTGTAGCAATGCAGTTTGTTTCTTATTGAAGATACCAGCCGCTTCTTTCACTTTTTTATACATGTTAAACGTGCCGTACCTTTTTTCAAGTTCTTCAATGTCATGACACTGTTTGGCTAGATGTTGACTCTTTGCTTCTCGTATTTTACGTCGAATTTCTTTTTGTATGCTATTGTAAAGTTTTTCCTTGTTTTTCGCTAGTCGCCGTTGGTCCACCAAATCCAGTATGTCATCTGTCATCCAAGCCTGCTTTTTTAGCTTTGACATCCCTTGCAAATTTCTCACACAGATTTCTTTTACTGTTGTTACGATTTTATTTAAGCCCTCATCGACGTTTTCACCAATATTTTCCCAAATTAAATTTTCGTTCAGTTGTCTTTGAACTGATTCCTTAACTTTCCTCGTCTTGTAATTTGGCTGTATCAATATTTTTGCGAAACTTCTTTTTGATCACCTTTTTTAATTTTAATTGGGTTACAGCTACTATGGAATTGTGATCGGACCCAATGTCAGCACCTGGATAAGTTTTAACTGATTTGAACTCTCAGAATGATGTCATACACTTTTTGGTGTGAAAGGTTTCCTCCTTTTTCTAACAACTCTCCATTTATGAAATCATTTCCTGATGCTTTATGGTCTTTTAGAGACGCGATCGCATTCTTTACTTCCTTAAGTTGGTATTTCGATATTTGCCGAATGCAACGTATTATTTGCTTCCTCCGTCTCACTTTCAATATTTAGTAAATTCCGAAAGTATTCCTTCCATCGCGCATCGTTCGATTTCCGTTGCATCCCTATAAAAAAATCCCAAATATATCCCAAAACAAACTGCATCCCTATAAAATGATCATGGAACTAAACTCAGGAACTCATGAAAGAAGACTGATAGGAGAATGTATTTTTGTGGAAAAATTATGGAAATATTAGATAACAATGTTATCCCATTAGAACATGTTTTGTTTTCTGATGAGTGTACCTTTGCACTTCAAGGGCGTGTTAATCGTCGGAATTCGGAATCGTCGGAATTCGGCAGTCCTCAACCGAATATTTCAATGGATAAGGAGGCGAGGATCAATAGAATGGTCAGCATGATCTCCTTATCTGACGCCATTAGACTTTTTCTTATAGGGATATGTCAAAAATATTGTACACAAAAACTAAACCTCTCGACTTAAGATTAGGATGTTGCCAAAACGTTCGCAGCGAGCATTTTGAACATCCCCTACATTCACATTAATGTATTTATTTGTATTTTTACATGATCAAGAAATAATTTTTCAGTTTGTTATAGCAAATTTCTGTACTCAGATAATTTTCTTTTTTTTAATATGACCTTTTGCAATAAATATGAAAACACCTAATATTTTCGAAACAGTGAAAGATGGGTATAGGAAATTGTACATGAGATATATCTACAATATTCCGACGAATCCAAAAATTGAATAACATACAGGGTATTGCATTTAAAATAAGAACGTTGGTATTAGCCACTGTTACATGACACGCCCTGTATGAAAAGTTTTTATTGCAAAAAATGCGCAACTAAAAATATCAAACGACGTGTCTGAGCGTTTTTTTGAATACGCTCCCTTATATTTATTATCTATTATCCGTTCACAAATTGTTGATAACACCTCAAATAGCACCTGTTGATAGTGCCTCAAAGTCATACAATTGTCGTAAAATTTGTATCATCATAGGCGTTCCTGAGGTGTTTATTAATTAAAATTAATATTAATATTAATAATGTTTTAATACTAACATATTTAGCAAAAAACAATTAAAACTTTCACGGCTAATGTTGGTTATTATATTATATTAATAAAAATAAGAATTTAACCATTAACAATTTGGTAAATAAGAATACTTTATCTCTTTGGATATTTCAATTCTAATCTTCGCGTTTAATAACTTTACTAGAAAACCTGGAATTCATATCCGAAGGTACTATTCGTTGCAAGATAATTAGGATGGAATTTTCCAAGATTTTTAATAATATAATGGGTATAAAGATGCCGGCTTTGGCCACGTGTCTCGTCTGTTCAGTTTATGTTCGAAACTTAACTTGAAAGGGTGAAGTTATTAGGAACGAAAACATTTTTTTGTTTAGTACATTTTTGATCGCATGTAATTTACGGCTCGTCGGTCTTTCCACGTCTACGGCAGTAATTAGCGTCTCGAATATTTCTTTTGCGAATTATATGCAGTGCGTGAGTGATTTTTATTCCATATACCTACGAACATATACGTACCTTTCGCTAATGCTTGTTGTGTTGGATTGTTTGTGATGGCTTCATCATCAACATCATCAAGTTTTACACCGATACTGTTGCGTACAGTCAGTAAGTCTGTCTATTCACCAAGAGAGAAGACTATTGTCCTGAATGTTCACGATGCTCTGGTTTCTCAGAATCCCACAAACACTGTTCGCAACATAGTCGAAAGTTGTGCCAAACATGACTGGCGTAGGGGAGTCAGCTATATATAGGTTACTATCAGAAAAAAAAAACACGGTATAGCTAACCCAAACACAAACGAACACTTAAAGAGGGGGAAAAAGCCTATTGAACTTGATGAATTTGCCAAAAATGGTAATCTAAGAAAAATTCATGGAATTTTTTTTCAAAAAAGAAATACCAAACCTAAACAAAATTTTACAAGAAGTTAGAGACGACCCGGATTTGCCTCATATCGGACGAACTAAATTGTGGAAAGTTTTAAAAGAATTATATTTCCGGTGGGAGAAATCAGACCGAAAATCACTTTTGATTGACTGGGAGGAGATAATATGTTGGAGAAGAAATTATCTAAGATCCATCCGAAAATTCCGGACTGAAGGAAGGCCAATCTTCTACCAGGATGAAACGTGGGTAAACTCAGGTCATACTCTAAAAAAAATTTGGTCAGATAAAAATATATTAAACTCCAGGCAAACCTTTATGGAAGGCTGGTCTACTGGTATCTCCCCACCTTCTGGTAAAGGCAGTAGATTAATAATTTCTCACATTGGCAGTGAAAAAGGATTTGTTGAGCATGTTTTGTTGGAATTTCAGTGAATTTCACACAATTGAACACATACCACCAAATTCAATTATAGTATTAGATAATGCACCTTATCATTCACGACTAGTAGAAAGACTTCCAACGACTGCGTTGAAGAAACAGGATATTCTTGACTGGCTGCGGAATAAGTATCTGCCTTACGAAGATGAAATGATAAAAGCAGAACTTTTAAAAATTGCCTGGCAACACAAATCAAGTTCAATAAATACGTAGTTGACAAAATGGCGAAAAGGCGAAACATCACAGTCCTTAGACTTCCACCCTACCACTGCAAAATAAATCCAATTGAACTCATTTGGGCACAAATGAAAAGTTATGTGGCTAGAAAAAATACGTCATACAAAATACAAGCCGTACGTGAATTGTTATACGAATCTTTACAACATATTACAGAACAAAACTGGAAAGATGCAGTAAGACATCTAATAGAAGAAGAGCAAAAAATGTGGGATCTTGATAACATAATTGATGCGACCGTAGAGACACAACCGCTAATTATTAACACTCCTCGGATTCCGAAGTTGATCCTATTTATTTTTAATTTGAATAGTTTTTTAATCGGAATTATATAAAGTAAGTAATCGTAAGGTATTAAAGGGGAAAGGCGCAAAATGTCGCCTGTCAAAATGTTCAATGTGTTTTAAATGTATCCATTTTTTTTTCAATCCTGTGAAAACTAAAAAGCATTTTTGAAAAATTTAAAGGCAGAATGAAATATTTATTAGAATAAATAAAAAGTTTCTTTTGCATGCAATATTTTCAATTAAAAATTATACTATATTTTCTTATAAAAATTATACTCTTTTATTTTCACCCCTGTTACATAACATATTAAAATAAACATTGTAGAAGTTTTCAGGGACTTTCTGCCCTCAGTAATAATGTAATCTTCCATTCTGCGTTTAAGTTTTTTAAAAATATTTATTAGTTTTCTCCGGATTCGAAAATAACGGATACATTTAAAACACATTGAAAATTTTGCCAGGCGACATTTGGCGGCCCAAATGTTTTCGACTAACCTAGGTGGGTTAGTCGAAAACATCTTAAACCGTCAGTTTCAGGTTGGTTTTTACTATTATATCGTATTACCTATCCTCTCTGTATTTCAGTTCTCTAATTAGGGTTAAACTTGTAGTGAGCTATCGACAAATTGTGAACCGATTATAATTTATTCCATTTGGCTGTTCCACTCTGTATAAGAAAATAATTAAAAGCAAAATTGCATATGATATTCATAGTACTGATAACATCTACAAAAATTCTATGATACTCAAACAAGATACTTATTGCAGACCACAAAGTAAAATAAAGATAGGGCAGGCCTAGGATAAGTTGATAAAAAGACAACAGAAGGGGTTTGGAGGTCAATCTGTCAGAGAACAGTGTCATAGATATATAAATGTTTTAAATAAATAAATATATATATATATATTATATATATATATATAATATATATATATATATATAATTACAGTCAACATAGATTTCGTATTAAACATTTTTGTTGAATCAAACGGCAAGATTGCTTTCACTGTTATGAGAGTTTTAGTTTTTAATCAAATCAAATGATAAAATATAATGCAACAAAAACATACCCTTTGCTGTAATTCCGTTTAGACATATTTCAGTTTGAGTCGCTTCTAACATATTGTCTGTGAACATGGCTCGAAAGTAATCACTACATGCTGCTAATACTGCTTTGTGAGCTCGGAATGCACAACCCTCTGGAAACAAAAAACATTTTATAAATTATTTTTTTGATATGAAAATGACTACATAGTAGTAATGTTAGACTATATTTTAGTTTTTCCAAAAAAAATTAACAGAATACCTGTAAAATTAATAAGAAGTACAGTAAGGCCTCTTTTTATGCGGTGGATACTCAGAAAAGCTCATAAAAAAATCGCATAAAAAAACACATTACTTGCCTTGAAAAAGTAGGGATACGTTCCGTAGCCTTCTACGAAGTATTATTTTTTCAACTTATAAAATCTCAAGTATATATGAGTAATAAAATTTATAGTAAACTGATCTTACCAATGACTAGAGTAACATCAAGTAATTCTCCTCTCGTACGTAATGAATTCAGTCCTTCGAGAAGGTGGGATTGATGAGAAGGATATTCATAGAACGTAGATCGCAGCATCATGGGCATGGCTGAAGCGACTTAAGTTTACCATAACTGTAACAAGGAAAATCTATAATTAAAGTTATGTAATATTTACTTTTGAAACAAACTTTTAAAAATCATTCATTTCGAAGTGTAAACTTAGACTAACACCTAAATTGAATGCAGATTAATGTGTCGAGTCCATGTTACTTCGCTATATTTACATCCTTCTGTGTCAGTATTGGCGAATATCCTGGCCTAATTCAATGGGAAATAGTAATTCCTTTGACGAGTATATTCTGTGGATTTACGCCCATGTATCATTAGATTAACATAATTTATCTACCACGCTGTTTGGTAATACCACTAACATTAATTCTTTACTCATTCTTTACTACTTTTACTACTTCTCTGTATATGAAATTTGATCATAAATTTAGATCATCATTTTCTTCTTTTAAATTTTAAAATATGTCTTATTTTTCAGCTCTAAATGTTAATAAATAAACAATGGAAATATGATTTTAAGAAAAAATGATGTCTTTGTTCCTATTGGTTACACAAGATACTGTTTTTGTTTTTTTATTGGTCATAGAAAGTTCTTTTTTTAAATACTGATTTTTTCAGCAGCTTTTCATAAAAAAATCATTATAAAAATTATCATTTATTACAAATATTTATAAGCTAAAACGTCAGCCATTTTTCAAAAGGCTTTTTAATAACAATTCTGATAAAATGTTAAATTTTTTTAGTATATCTTAAATTTGAAGCCTCAAAGAATCGATTGCGATCTGCTAAAAATCTCTAGAGTAACTATTTGGACAAGTACGAGGATAGATTGATATTAAACTAGCCTTTAATAGATGTGCTACTTGATACCGAATTGGTTTCGGTGTTGACATTTGCCATTCATGACATGACGTCTGTCAAAATTTTAAGTTTTAAAAACAATTAGTTTGGTTTTTTACAGTCGTCAAAAGAAAGCAAATTTTGTGTTGTCGGAGAAATGGAACAAGTCGAGTATCTTTCGGTGATTAAGTTCCTCCACAAAAAGGGTAAAACTAATGTGCAAATCAAAGCCGACCTGGACGAAGTTTATGGTGAGGCTGCACCTTCGTTAGCAACAGTAAAATTTTGGAAAGCTGAATTTGTTCGTGGTCGTACGAGTGTTTTTTGATGATGAGCATCCCCGGGAGGCCAAATAAAGTCATCACACACCGGAAATGATCAACAAAGGCCATGACATGATTATGGCAGATAGTCGAAATAAGCTTCGCGAGTTAATGGAGGTCCTAAACATTTCCTACGAACGCGTACACATCATTCACCATCATTTGGACATGAAAAAGCTATCCGCGCGATGGGTGCCGCGTTTGCTGACAATCGATCAAATGCAAAAACGTCTGACCACTTCGGAGACGCTTTTGGCGATGATACGGCGCGATCGACTACTTGGAAAGAGGAAAAACAATCAATGCTGAGTACTACACAGCATTTTTGGATCGATTCGATACCGGATTGCGTCGAAAATGCCCCGGTTTGGAACGCAAAAAGTGCTCTTTCACTAAGACAAGGCACCGGCTCACCGGTCGGTCGTCGCCATGACAAAATTACACGAATTACACCGTATTCCCCAGATCTTGCCGCCAGCGATTTTTCCGTTTCCAAACCTAAAAATACGGCTCGGAGGACGCCGTTTCGCAACAAATGATGAAGTCGTCGCTGAAACTTTCGGCCTATTTTGAAGACCTCGAGCAAAAGTACAATTCGGATGGGATAAAAAAATTTGAACATCGTCTTGCTAAGTATATCGAGCTGAAAGGGGACTATGTTGTATAGGGACTATAATTAAAGTGTATCGATTTAATTCCAAAAAACTTGTTTTTTCTATCAAAGGCTAGGTTTATACCAATCCACCTTCGTAGAGTTGTTTAACTATTCGCTCTCCGGGATAGACAAATTGAATAACAGATAAACTATTTGCTCAATCTGGTTGAAATTTAGCACACTTCGATATCACATAAATTGCCACAATTTCAAGTTTATTAACTTTTATAAATTACTGTAACAATGAGGGTTTTTTTTTGTAATTATCTCCGTGAATTGTTTTTTGTATTTTAATTTAGCAATTCTCACGATTAAAGGACTTTTTAAGATCTACAACTATTATTTAAACTATTTTTCTTTCAAATGTATGAAAAACCTTTTTCTTAAAGGCAAAAATGATTTTTTTCACTTTTTATGATTGCTTAAAAAACAAAGTAAAATCAGCTGTATATCTTCACGGATTTGTCTTCAGCTACGCCTCACAATAACATATCTTTAATTAGGTCTTATCAGAATATTCAGATTCTCTTTTATGGAGTACCACTTTTACCTTGATAATACAATTTATGTTTACCTATGAATGTGGTATATATAAAAAATTAAAACATAAATAGCCTACTTATTCTAAATTAACAATCTGTATCAAGTGAACAGCTATTTTCTTACTTTGTTTTTATAAACGGTTTACACTACATTTTGTTACAGGTGTACAACTGTTTACTAACTGTACAATACGATAATAAGATGCTTAATTAATACCAAACATTTGTATTTGATGTAACAGTAAAAAAATCCAAATGCCAGATGGTAGGTTTGTGAAAGTGTGCGATGAAGTAATTTGCATATTATCAAATGATCATAAAATCTGCTTATGTATGTATAAATTAAGGAAGGAAATAGTTAATTATAGTTATTAGTTATTATTAACTTTATTTAAAAAAAACTTTGAAGACATAACAAAGAGAGGAGGAACAGGAAGAATAATAAAGATATTGTTCAAACTACTGATCGTAAGTAACTAGCGAGTAAATGATGACTAAAGATATATGCAAAATGCCTTTTTTGGCATATCTGGCATATTTTGCATACATTTTACGTTTTTACAAGAAGAAATTGCATATATCAGCATATTTAAAGAAATATGTAAAGGCAATATTTTATGAATGTTGTAACGAAAATATTTTGCCCACCTCAGGGTTAGATTATGGGGGTAAAGATAGAGCAAGCAAAATAAACGCTACTTGTGCGAACGGCACTCAGGGTTTGTTAGGAGACCTGGGGTCGTGGATAAGTAAAAGATAAGGGGGTTGGATTGGGGCAACTACAAAAAAATGAAATAAAGAGTCATGAATTTCTTGGGACAATCAAAACAAAAAGAAACAGGAAACACCTCTAGTAATTTAATATAGGGCGCCACTTCGAGGTGCCTAATTATAACCATTACAACAGCTAGTTGTAACTAGGGAAATAATTATTAAAAATCAAAACATATCTGGCGACTTTTTGTAACGGAAACTCAAGGGATTAGTTTAAAAAAAATAAACAAAATGTTAAGAAACAAAATTTAACATTTATTGTGTCTTACCACAAACAGTTATAAAAATAATGGCACAAATTTACATATAGATTAATAGTTACAGAGAACAAGAATAACAAAAAAACTTACATGTGTCCTAGCCGTTTACAAACTCTGTTGCTACAAAACTTACAAAATTGCATGGAGGTTAACCTTCTTTAAAAATAAAACAAACTAAAATCAAAAAATAATAAAACGAGCTGTCATAAGTTAACAATAAATTAAAAAAAAACTGAACACACAAATTGACAGCTAAAGTCAAACCCTAAAATTTTATAATTTATTAATTATTATAAATCCTTTAAATTTTAATGAAAGCAATTATATTATTAAAAAAATGTCTACTTTACTTTAAATATTTACACAAAAGTACCTGGACTGCACTGGGTTTTACACTAGAATTCTGGAACTATAACTGGAACTAAACAAACTGTTTCAGGAACAAAGCAGGAACAGCGAGATTGAAGAAGCACTTCAACTGGAAACAAACTGGAACATCAGAATTGCTGCAGGCGACACAAATCTCTTAAATACTTTTTTAACCTCCTCTGTAACTAGACATACTTCACAATTTACTTTTGACTGCTACATATTTCCATAAAAAGGGGCCAAAAACAGAAAACTACAAATTCGACGGATGAATTTGGATCCATACCTGAGCCTACAGCGACCCAAGTAAGAATGACGAAATTATCTTAAAAATTCGTTTACATAACTTGAAATAAACAAAACACGTGAAATAAACATAAACACAAACGGGAATTAAGACGTAAATTATTAATTTGAAAACGCAGTACTTTGGGCGGCATAAATAAAAGAATTATCGACTGAAAAATACGCAGCCACGAAATAAATAAACAACTGTAAAATGGTTTATATTACTTGGCCGACCTAAGAAAGAACTGAAAATACTTTTTGCGTATTTCAACTTGTACGATAGGAAACTGAAATGCATTAAAAATACTCTTCGATTTTTCAAACATATATGAGGGGATTTCAATATATTACATATACGAGGGATTTCAATATACACCAAAGAATCAATGAAATTGCAAATGCTACAATGACCGAGTCAAAGGTGTGTTTCAGTACCCCAACTTTCAACCTTGTATTTGTATTCGTCCTAATTAAGAAGTCCAGTTTACAACTTAATGAGTGATTGTGACATCCAGGTAACTTTTATTGTTTGTTTAATTTTCAAGTAAAGACAGATATTTTTTTAGAAAAATAATTGCTTTCATAACAATTTAAATTTTTCTTTTTTTTTAATTATAAATTTTAGGTTTTGAGTTTAGCTGTAATTTTAAATTTTTTGTTTTAAAATTTAATGTTAACATATGAGAGCTAGCTTTATTATTATTGATTTTCATTTGTTTTGTTTTAAAAAAGAAGGTTAACCTCTGTGCGGTAATATTTGTAAGTTTTTGTAATATCTCCAACTGCTAGAGTTTGTAAACGGATGACATGTAAGTTCTTTGTATTTTTGCATTTTGAATATGACTATTCAGGTAATATTTTTGTATTGTCTTTTCTGAGTATTCTTGTATTCTCTATGTTTAGTAACTGTTTGTGGTAAGACACAATAAATGTTTAATTTTATTTTCTTAACATTTTGTTTATTTTTTTTTAACTAACCCAACTCGACATCGAGTTTTGATGTAAATTTTGC